TCTCACTATAGGTTACAAAAAGACGAGTACAAGGACATACGAGTGTCGAAGAATATTGAGAGTACAGTTTTTCGAAGGTATCCGAAGAAGGTTGTTGTATTGTAACACTTATCGTAGTCACAGTCAACATTGAATAACTGAAGAGAATGAATGCACCCATAAATGTTAGAAAAATATAGAGACGCGTTGTTTGAATTCCCAGATTCACGGTAGAAAAGGAAGTTTCAAACACGTTCAATGTGCTGATTAGTTGACGAACTCGTCGGATGAGATTGAGAAGGCATTCTCTGATGCTTGGCACTAAAACAATTCAAGACTCTCACAGTTTCTTGTTTAGAAATAGAATAAATCAGACAATTCTTCAGTATCATTCCGTGAGAATGAATCAAAACAGGAAAAATAAAAAAGTCTCTTACCTGCAGCATCATTTTCTATTGTAGGAATTATATCACCTCGGCATTTAACTAGTAGACGACGAAAGAATTGTACGAGAAGAGGAACCAGAATACCGAGTATTGTTGTGAGACCTCCGATGAGACTAAGCAGCATCGTCATTGCATAAAGAAAATTACCACGTTGTGTATAGGTGTAGGAACATGTTTTTGGATGGCATGCATTGTAGTAACTAGTGAAATTACTCGAATTTTGCCACGTTTCAACGAAAAGCTGCTCAAACATAGCATTGACGGTTGTGTTGACTCGAAAGCGAGATGGAGCAGTCGCATTGAGTGGGGTGGTTGTTTGCGAGATACCAATGAGATTGAGACATGAACGATTATAAAAACATTCCAGTGTTGACTGAAGTATTGAATCATGAGGCATGCATCCAACTAGCATACCAGGCACGATAAATATAGGTGGTGGCGAGGGCTTATATAAAGTGGTCTCACCCTGTGGAGGACGAATGGAATAGTTGTAGTAACCCGCTTGATAAGTACAGTTTGTCATGAACGTACAATCGCAATAGATATAACTTGGATTGGAGACGTTGCTGATAGCATAATTTCCAACTAAATAGGCTCCGTGTTTAATGCTGAAACTCGACAATAACGGATTCTGGATGAGGTAACGATTGTTATTCAAAGCTGACATAATTTGACTGCCGGCAATAATCTGGGACACCAGCTGATCGATGTATTGCATATTTGCTACTGTTGTCGTTTGCATTTGTTCGATCAGTGCTACAACTTGAGCCTCGAATACTTCACGTGACACAGCTTGACTGGTAACCATTTGTTGTGCTAGAAATTGATTGAGATCATTACTAATAGTCCATGTCGCTGTTTGACACAGAGATGCTAAGATCTGAAACTGAGACATAGCCATCAGACGAAAATCTAGTGGTGAAAATCGAGACATATTTATGTTGAATAGTGTTGAAATGAATTGTTGAGAAATAAATTGACTCGAACACACTTGATGATAAAGTGGATCGAATAACATAAACTGATCATAGCGAATATTGGTTTGTGAACAAGGGCAAACGAGAATATTTGCATACTCATCGCTGAGATGTTCAAATTCATTAAGCGAAGGTAATGTGACAGTTATGACGTGTGTTTGCATGCTCAACGTAACAAACAAAGTGACAATGACAACTGAGATATTCAGAAGAATAATAAACAATCGAGTTGCTAATAATTGATCATTGACTATCAAAGAGTTATCGATTTCGTACAAGTTAAACTTGCAGAGCGATATATAAAGACGCTTCCAAATCGTCATTAAAAAACTGAATATTGCAATTTTTTTTCAAGAACTTGTTCTCTTTCAATATGGCCGCGTACGGCAATGCTGACCTCGAGCACTACGTTTCGGAACGATTGTAAGCCTTGCTTTAATCTATTGTAAGAGAAAACATGCTTTGAGGGTGGGGTGTGAGCGTGGGTGCGGGTGAGGAAGAGACTCACACACACCCACATCCTTAAGGATTTAAAAGGAAAAATTTGATGATTATAATGAAAAATGGTATTTCTAATGAGTGGAAATACGCAAGAAAAAGATCGATCTAATGAATCTATTTTCAGAATTCTTCCAAAGAAAACAAGATACAACTATGTAATGAATTTTCACTAAACCAGCTAGGTTTTTAATTCTACGCAAATTTTTATCTGTGCTAAAGGAATACGCAAAGCACCGTAAGGAATGAGATTGAAGTAAAAATCAGATGAGAACTGTAACAGATGATGATGGATATAGGGACATTAGAAGGCGAAATACGATAAATCTAAGATGAAACTGCATACCTTCGAGACAACGACGAATATTAATTGATTTTTACGATATTGGAATAACTTGAACGAGTTCGGTAATTGAAATCTATCTAGAATAAATAAAAAGTAATTCATAAAATAATTTAGACACGTTTTATATGTCATGATACATCGGAAAGACAGCTATGCAGAATATTTACCAGCCCAAATTATAATCAATTCTTTAAGGAAAGATCATGTAGAAGTCGTTTCTCAGTTACAATCATCGCGCAATCTCCAAAGACTGATAGAAGAAAAACAAAATTTAATGGAGAAAAGTTTTTCTAAAAAAATATGGATATTTGTATTCACTCCAGCTTGCATTTAGCTTTATGAAAAAAATTGATATGTTGATAACGCACGACTCTCATTTTATTACAAGACTACGTTTCACACCTGTTCTGCTATTCCGTTTCTTTTTTTTTCTCTCTCGCGATATGAAAATATATAGAAACAGGAAAGACGCAATAGACATGGAAACGACTAAAACAGAGTTGTTTTTTTTAATGTTGTTTACAAGAGAGAGAAAATTAAGTAGATTAGTATTGCAATTGTTCAAATATTTTAATTCACAATGCTCTTTATGGGGACAAAGTCATGACTATGTTTAAATAGTATAACATTTGATAATCAGAAAAGAAACCTTCAAGCAACGAAGGAAAATTTATTATGAAATCATATTGTTTTAGTTACAACGTTAAAATTCCATAGCAAACGAAAACATGATTGCGACATTGCCATTTTGAGAGTGTAGATGTCAATTTTAATCATTACAATTCGTATCTCCACCCACACCCACTCACCCAATTGAGAAAAGCATATATGTGATTTGTTCAAAAATATATAATAAAATCAGCAATTTATTTTAGTGATGCTCTGTTGAATAGTAGTACGCAGTAAACTTGTGTCAGAAGTTATTTACATCATTTTAGACTATATTCATATAGTCAAAGAAACAGCAGAAAATTATATTTTAGTTTATGTTGTGTATGATTATTACGATTTCAATCGGCTTTGGATTCACGTATCTGTGGTTAGGTTTGCATGAGAACATTCAAAAAATATTATTAACACTGAGACTTTTCAGATGAAAAACAAGAAAATCTCTTTTCCAATTATTTCAAATACGTTTGAATCAGAAAAGAAAAATGAATGAAACCGTTGATTTTGATGTGTTTTTTACTCATGAATACAGTTTGAGATGATGTGAATGATTTATGATATGAATCGATCGTTGATTTGTATCAGGAAGGCAAAAAAATGTTGATTTTATACTCATATTCTAGCAAGGCGAACGCATTCCTCTGCTCAATTAGGTCATTATATTACTCACTAACTTTTCAAAACTCATTTAAACAATATCATAGAAACACTTGAATCATTTTCAAAGACAGTTGTTAGATACGACTCAATTTTTTTCACCGATCTTCGAGTGTTTATTTCTTATATCATGCTCTTCCTGGCAATAGACGGAAGCACGCCTTGCAGCTGTTCCGAAGAAAAACGTTCGACGTCAGTATCCTCGTGTTCTATCAACAAGATGTCATTGAAGTTCTAAAATAATTCTAATATTTATCATTCCACCATTCATAGAAATAAATTCTTTAAAATGAATACAGATTACTAGATGTATTCAATAATATTGAAATAAATATAATGCAGTTATTTTTTTAATTTTATTTTCTGACTTATCGGTCGATAATGATTGTCTAAGTTCAAAAATTTCCTAGGTCTTATATTTTGATTTAAATCAATTTGAAATTGAGGCTATAAAATAAAATATCTTCAGATGACTTTTCAGCTATATCTCTTATCCTTTGAGTTAACCCTCTGCGTCCCGTCGACGTATCTATACGTCCAAACAGGGGTTATCGAACAGAAGTGCTCCTAGTATACAATTTAACTATTTAGAACATCTTTGTTATCTTGAGGATGTGGGTGTGAGTTAAGAAAACAGTCACCCATATCCACACACACACTGACCGATTCTATATGTGCACTCACTTTTTGAGTACACAAAAAATAGAATGAATTAGTTTTGACAGATGAAGAAGTTCTACGACAATATTTTCTCAGTCGACTTTCAAGACATTCTGTATATCTATTTGCAATTCTTTATATTTATATTCTATCCTATCTAACTCATTATTATTTCTATAACTTTCCATTTAATCGTATATTAAACTTATTGTTTATGTGTATAGATCCGATCACATGTCTGATTTTGTTTTTAATGTTCGTTATACGTATCTGTTCAATCGAAAATGAACAAACGTTATACAGTGTTAGAATAACTGGAATGTGACGAAATTCTGATTATATGCAAAGAAATAAGCACTTATAATGTGTCGAACCATTATGCCAAACTATGTCCTCAAGGATAAAATTTTATTAATGAAAAGAAAAATGTATACATAAAATGTAAGAAGAAAGAAAAACATAAGTGTATTTCACGTTTACGAACATAGACAATAGTTTATTTGCACAAAAGTACATTTTTCATTTCGTTTCTAAATGTTTTCGATACCATTAAATTAATGTAACAACTAATACATATTGGAATAAAACCAGCAACATTGCTTACAGTCGTTAAAAACGAAATCATTTGACTTTGTGCTAAACTTTTACTTTGATATTGAACGATTTGTTGATAGAGAGAAATAACTGCGGGTACCAAATTGAAAATAATGTAAACAGTAATATTGACAAGTAATATTTTGATCAGTTGACGATCTTTAGGACGACCAGGATTTAAAACAGTACCCATTGTATTTGACATCGGAATCACTCTTGCACGATGTGAAGATTGCATGTTCTTGATGGTATATATTTCACAGATAATCATAACTGTAGGTATGAGGATAACTTTTATTAATAGATAATAGTTTGTAAATGCTAAATATCCGTCAGAATTGGAATAACAGACATAATAGTTTGGTATAATTTCGATAATGTTAACCAAAATCAATGAAGGGCTGTGAAATAACATGCAGCATATTGTACCAACGATGATACACGTATATGCAACACGATGATTGCTATGTCGACGAATGCGTGCATTTCGTGAAGTACATAACATTCGGTCAATTGAGGCCATAATCAAATAAAATGAACTGAGAATATCAAAAACATATCCGCTAAAATAAACAAAACGACAATAACTGTTACTCCATGTTGCAACACTAATGCTATAGCCATATATTAGAATTGCTTGTAAAAGAGATATACATATTTGATAGAGATTAATAACGTTGTATGCAATAAAATAGACCGAACATGGATTCTTACGAAGATTCTTCTTCAAAAAAATAATCAAATTAAATATGCAACCAATACTACCAATACAGATGAAAAATGCAGCACCATATTGATATAAATATGTTTGTGCTGATACTAATGATTTGATATAATCCATTTCGGACGACATGATAGGAGTCTTAACTAGAGATGCTCGTTTACCTTTACTTTATAAAGAATAAAGAATGACTTTGTAGATGACAGCAAAATAAATAAATTAATGTTACAAATGTTTACTTATCAATTAGAAAATAATAATATGCTAATGCGCTTCTCTTTTAGTTGATTAGTTGTCTTAATGTCATATTAGTTATTTCATTAAATCCTTTCGATAATATTTGAAAATTTTAATACTCTTTTTCTAAAATTATATGACGTCTTATTATGAAAGTGAATAGAACTTTAAATTGAGCGAAGTTCTATCCAAAATAAAAGATGAACTCCACGTTTTTATCATTTGGACTAATTTTTAAGTATATAGTTTTATATTAAAAAAAATAATTACATAAATATTATGAAACTTTATGAATGAAATTTTTTGACACTTTACTGATTTTGTATTACACCTTTTTGAAATAAAAAAATATTTCTAAATTACAATACGTTTTTTTAATTGACATTGCTTGTTGCTTTGACAATGATTTAGTTTTTTTTGTTTATAGGAGTCATGCTTTATTTTTTATCTTAGCTTTATTTTTATAAATAAAGATAATCTTTATCTTTGTTTTATAAAAATTGAAGATTACTCAAATTTTTCTATGTTTTTTTTGTTTATAAAATAAAGTAACACCTCGAGCCTATATAGATTGATGTTTCAGACAAGCTAAAACGCCAGGTCATATAACATTGAGTACGTGCAGCACCACCCCTGAGTTTCATTTAAATGTATGATTGAATCAATTGCGATTTGAAGTTGATGTGCTTCGAAATGAATACATCGATGTTGCATATAGTAGTGCACAATTAGTATGTATACTTTGTTCTATATTGAACATACTATTGGCATCTGTGACGGAGAATACATTTTATTCTGCTATGTTAAACATTGGAGAACCAGTTCCGCTGACGCACTCATACCCTCTATTAGCCACCCACACCCTATCTAACTTATTGTTTCTATAACTTTACATTTAATCGTATATTAAACTTATTGTCTATGTGTATAGATCAGATCACATGTCTAATTTTGTTTTTTTGTGTTCGTCACACTTCTCTGTTCAATTAAAAATGAACAAAACGTTATACAGTGTTAGAGTAACTTGAATGTGAAGAAACAAGCACTTATAATGTATCGAACCATTATGCCAAACTATATATGTCCTCAAGGATAAAATTTTATTAATGAAAAGAAAAATGTATACTTAAATTATAAGAAGAAAAAAAACCAAAAACATAAGTGTATTTCACGTTTACGAACATAGACAATAGTTTATTTGCACAAAAGTACATTTTTCATTTCGCTTCTAAATGTTTTTGCTACGATTAAATTAATGTAACAACTAATACATATTGGAATAAAACTGACAAAAATGCTTACACTCAACACAAATGAATTCATTTGACTTTGTGCTGAACTGTTGCTTTGATATTGAACGATTTGCTGATAGGGAAACATAACTGCAAGCATCAGATTGAAAATAATATAAACAGTAATATTGATTAGTAATATTTTGATCAGTTGACGATCTTTAGGACGACCAGGATTTAAAACAGTACCCGTTGTATTTGACAAAGGAATAACTCTTGCACGATGTGAAGATTGAATATTCTTGATGGTGCATATTTCACAGATAATCATAACTGTAGGTATGAGGATGACTTTTATTAACTGATAATAGTTTGTAAATACTAAGTATCCGTCAGAATCAGAATAACAAATGTAATAGTTCGGCATAATCTCCATAATATTAACGAAAATCAATGAAGGGCTGTGAAATAACATGCAGCATATTGTACCAACGATGATACACGTATATGCAACACGATGATTACTATACCGACGAATGCGTGCATCTCGTGAAGTGAACAACATTCGATCAACTGAAGCCATAATCAAATAAAATGAACTAAGAATATCAACAACATATGTGCTAAAATAAATAAAACGACAGAAACTATTACTCCATGTTGTCATACTAATGTTATAGCCATATAGTAGCATTAGTTCTAAAAGAGTTACACATATTTGAAAAAGATTAGCGATGTTGTATACAATAAAATAGACCGAACATGGATTCTTACGAAGATTCTTCTTCAAAAAAATAATCAAATTAAATATGCAACCAATACTACCAATACAGATGAAAAATGCAGCACCATATTGAAATAAATATGTTTGTGCTAATACTAATGATTTGATATAATCCGTTTCGGACGACATGATAATCACGTGCTAAGAAATAAATATCTTAATTAATCAAAATCATTTCTTATATATAGATTAAAAACTCTTACCTTAATATTATTGAAGTTCCTATGGAATTAAATATGTTTTTAATAAAAGTTAACTACCACCATATATATAATGGAATCTATAAAAGTACTTTCATTTATTTCAAGAATAGGATAACATAAATTAAAACTAGTTGTCATAGACGGATGACAAGACAATTATTGAATGTTTTCGATCTAATAAGGTGATACATTAATTTATTTTAAATATAAAACAGCTCCGATGCTGTTCATTTACTTTTAATACTGCGTTGCTTCTATATCAATATTAAACGTTAAGATATTTCCGAGGATTTTTAGACGATTGAAAATGAATTTATTAAGAGATGTGCAATGAAATAATAGTATACTGTCTTTGAGTCTCAACTGGAAATGCTCGTTTCCCTTTACTTTATAAAGAATAAAGAATGACCATGAAAGGTACGACAAAATATATAAATTATTGCTATAAGAGTTTTATGTTTTAATTAAAAGTTATTTTGTAAGTATTTTTATAAGACAAAAAATGAATTCAAAAGAAACTGCGCACAAAATGACAATATGCTAATAGGCTTCTTTTTTAATTAATTATTTGTCTTAATGTCATCCCTAGTGAAAGAACTCATAGCGGAGTACTCAAAAAGTACTCACGCTAGAAAATACCGCGAGAATCCATGAGTACTTATGATATTTGAGTACTCGTATGTTGTGTTTGTCGTGAACGTTAAGTGTTCGAGTACCACTAGCGAGTACTTATATATAACTGCCGAGTATTTCAGTACTATAAGGAACTACTCGGTTCTAATTTTGTGAGTACTCTCTTGGTACATTTCATATACGACAATATTTTTATTAGTTTTTAATTTATTGATATACTCTAGTTTTTGATCATGTTACAGTAACGAGATTAACATAAAAAAGAGCATAAGTAATAGAAACAAGACAAAATATGATACAATATTCGATATTAAAAAACAAAGAAAAGACAGTAAAAAAATAAAACGATATATAAAAAACTCTGCTCGAATTATAAAAAATTAAATTATCTCTACTTCAATACAACTAGTTTGGCTTAATATAATCCCAGCAAAAAATAAAAAATCACACATGACTTGTATAGTGTTTATTTACATGATTGAGATGATTCTGATGGTATTATAGTTATTGTTCTTTTTTAGTAGTGCTCGTTGATGTTGTTGAACGTGTTGATGTAGATTTAATTTGATTAGAATTTATATCAGTAATCTTCTAGAATTGCAATAGAAATTAGATAAGGATATTTATAAAAAGAGAAAACTTACTTAGATTTTTGTATAAATTTCATTAGTAAATTCAACTGGATTTATTCGATTTCCTAATGTCTAGTCAATAGAAAAAATAAAGCTTCTATGTGAAACGGATGTGTCTATTGAATTTTACTTACAACTGATGCGTTTAATCGAAATTCTAAAGTTCTTCCTTAAACATCTAAAAATAAATCAAAGACTAGATGAAAGCATTAAACACGTGATTATAAACATACAATACTGACGAGAATGATAGTTGAAAAAAAAAGAATGACGTTATTTCGATATAAGACTATTGCCTAACTTCTATATACATAAACACAAGCTACGTTGCTTGAGGGTGTGGGTGTGGTTGATTCTAAGGGTATTCATACTCATACCTACACCCACCCCCTCAAGATGGTTTAATCCCGGGTGTCAGCTATCTATTTTTTTTATTATTTTTGTTTGATATATAACTATGAAAATATATACAATGCAATCTAGTCATAAAATAGAAAACGAAAAAAGAAGATTTAAATTACAAAAATAAAATAAAGATAAATGTTCAACGTCGATTAATATTTCTCATTCGTTGTGCATGTCTTTGCAATGCTTTTTTCTTCAATGGATTAAACATATTGGAAAATTTCGTAAAAGCAGCATACATTACTAAAGATTGTATAGCAGCCATAGTAGACATAATAGCAACAGTCACAACTGTTATTGGTTGTTTACATGCATTTATCTATTATACATGTATGTGTTAAATATTAGTCATATGTAATTCCAACTTACGAAATCTTCAGGATACATGACAGGAACGGCAGTTGCAGTTGATGCACTTGCAGTAGTTGGAGCCGCTGTTGTTGGAGCTATAGAATAGAAGTGAATTAATTAAAATAATACTTTCAAAAAAGTAATAGTATTTTCTTACCAGCTGTAGTTGCAATTGTAGTAGTGACAGTTGTTGTAGTTGTAACAGCAGTCGTAGTAGTTGCCACAATACCAGAGGTTGTACACTATGTAAGAGTCTTATATTAAAAATAAATGTTAGTTGAAATAAACTTACTGCAGTATTAATAGAAGTAGTAGTTGTATGTAAGGATGTGACTGTATGAGTTGTTGGTGGAGTAGTAGTAGTTGTTGTTGTCGATGATACAGCTGGATCCCAAATGTTAAATACCCAATATGTTGGATCATAAATCGGAGCAGATTCAGGACCTGCAATGATTTATCATTTGAGTTATTCATCGATACAATCAATAAACTATAACTTACCACAAAATTCCGTTCCACTAGCAACACCTTAAATCAAACAACATATTAATTAAAAATACTGTGTACGAGTAATAAATTTATACATACCACTATCAAATGTCACATAATAAAAATGTCCAGGAATCCATGGTGCAACTGGAAAACGAACGATAGTTGTAAAACCTGTATATATGACATTAGGGTCCCAACCACAATCAAATTTCTGAACGAGTGTATTATTCGCAGTCGCATCTGTGAAATAAATGTAAGTATTATTAAGTGTTGGACGATTTACAGATTTTGTCGCTGAAAAAACAAAATTTAAATACAATTAAATGTATAAAAACTTATTCACAAATATTACTTTGAATCGAGAAAAGGCTTTGATTTTGAAAGACAGTGCCAATTGGTGAAGCTGAACCTTGAACCAATGATGGACGAATGATATCAGGAGATTCAAAGCCAACTAAGAATGTAATACACCATTGATTAGATTGAAGAGCTATAGTATCAACAGCTCCAGCACAGAAAGATTGCGGACCATATTGAGTAGATATGGGAACCCAACTGAGAATGATTTCATAAACATCTGGAACAAAATAATGAAAGAAACAAAATAAAACACATAATATACACTAACTAGGACTTGAATTGATAATAGCACTCTTTTTCATACCAGTTGGAGCACTACTAACTAAATCAGTAATAGCATGTCCAGGACAATAAACTTGTATAATAATATATTCAGTAACATTCGAACCGATTGGTGTACCAATACAAGCTAAAATGAAGTAAACAATTATACATCTGGAAAGAATATATAATTTACCTCGGTTTGGCCGATTACCAATGATAGCAGGTGGAGTAGTACAACTACCAGTAGGTGCAGCATAACCATAGAAAAGAAATTGTAGTGGAACAGAACTCATTGGTGTTGTAGATGAACTACTATAATAATCTTCAATTTGTAATGCTGCTGCAGCATACTGTCCAGCTACTGCCAGCGAAAATACAAGTGTGCAATTAGTCTGAATAAGATTAATATACAGAGGAATACCCATACATACACCACTACATTCATCATAATTGTTCAAATTACTTGATGAAGTTGACCATCGACATCGCAATGTATCGGTTCCATCAAAGTCAGACATTTGAATAACATGTACTTGTTGAATAGTGATTTGTTTGTAGATAATAGGAAGAGTGACAGCAATAGGACTGGAATTTATATAACCATCAGGTCTTAGAGCAGTGTTGATTCGACAAATAACACTCCATCCACCGTTGCCACCAACAGCAAGATTTGCAAACCAAGCAGATGATACAAAACCAATACTAAATGCAATATTTAATGGAAATGTTTGTGTTTCAAAATGTTCACCAGAACTAACAGTAAGTGCAACACTATAATCCGTACAGGCTATTGCTGTATTCATATTAGTCCAAGGAGCATATGAACCAGATACACCCTGGACAAGATAACCACTTCCGATAATACCTTGTGCAGCTATGGTCGTATCATCACAGTAATAAGTAGCACGATTCCATGAAAATCGTTCACGCACTTGAACAGCGACTGTACTACCGGATGGTGTATTATTCAATGGACGCCTATAAAATAGAACAATAAAAAAATATATTAGTAGAAGATTACATACCATGTTATTGTACCACCACGAAAATGAGAGCCCTGTACAATAATACTAAAACTTACTAACAAGATGATAAGCGATCGCTTGATTAACATCATGTATATAGTAAAAAATGAATTGAATACAAAAAATTATAGTTTATATACTCTACTTATAATAAAGTAGAGTAATGAGAGAAATGGGAGTAGTACGATTTCAAAAAAACAAAAATTTTATTTTTATATATAAACGACTGTCTAAAATAAATACAAGCATCGTTCGTTTCTATTTACTTGTGAGGACAAAGATAATAAATTCGTAAGAACATATTTTCTATTAATGTATTTATATAAAAAAAAATAAGTAGAACGAATACACAGCTTATATGTTTTAAATGACTAACAAGGAGAATTTTTCTTAGTTACATAAATCATCAATAGTACTCAAAACATATGAATTATTTGTTTTTGCTTTTATTTTCTTATTAAATTATATTTTTCAAAAAACAAAATTTAGATAATTAACCGATGGCATTCTAATGATATAGAAATTGTTTTAAATAAATAAATGAAGAGAAGCCCATCGATTATCATCTTTCATAAAGTGAAACTAAAAAGAATGGTAGTGCCTATGAAAAAATAAATATTTTTTCTTTTGAAGTATAAAATTGCTTGTCCAAATGATGTAATTGAAGATTTAAATGCAGAGAAATATTTTATTCGAGTTGTATTGACGTTATTAATGCTTGCATGCATCATGTTAGAGAAATAATACAAATTAAGTGCATAGGCATTTGGATGAAAATGTATTATTTTTTTTATTAATCGTATTTCGAGGACATTTAATAAATGTAGAGCGAGGACAAAACGTGAATAAAAAAAAATTGCCATTGAATCGTACATTACTTGATTTTAATTAGACAAAGGAATAGCCATCAGAAATATTATTCATAGCTTAAAGTATGAACAATGAAATCTTATTTTTTATTATTAATATAATCGGAATGATGTAATATTTATTCTTTTATTTACCACAATCTATCGAAATTCTTAATTCTTCTATCATACCGTAATTAAAATAAAACTAAACCAAATTCATATATTATATATTATCAACTGTTAATTACATGGATTTGTTACATAAGAACAAAGAACTGACATTATCTTTATTTATATGTTCTCTCTAATTTTACTTTCATTTCATAGTTTGAATAAAGTTAAGAATTTTATTATATAAAAACTATATGTATTGAATGAATTGAGAATAAATATACAAAGATTTTTTTCAAGACAAGACCGTACGAATACACGAGTATTTGTTAATAGAAATCTTTAATAGACAAATCCTTTGTCATACACTTGTTGAGGGTGTGGGTGTGGGTGAGAGGTGGGTGTTGGTGTGAGTGTGGCTGTAAAGAAAGCGGAGATGTTCGTCTATATCTACAATCACTCTCATTCCAACACCCACACCCACACACCACATCCACACACCACACCCACACCCACACCCTCAACATCAAACAATACAACATTCTTTTAGTCTACTCCAATAGTGTAACATGCTTACGACTAAATATGTTGCACTCTTCATCTCTGAGGCATTGCAATTGAAACAATAGTTCCTTGTTCTTGCTCTGGTCGTGTGACATACTTTAAAATAAATTGTTTGATTTCCTGGCGAAAGGTTCTGGATACAGCGACATACAAGTAGAAAGTAGCACAATAATTTAGATAAAACAGGACAATAAGCCCAAAAAAGCCAATGAATGATTCAATTGCAATTCGATCTAGGCTCTTGTTGGACACATTACTTGTCAGTGCAGCGTAGAGTATATCTAATGGAGCTATGGTGGTGAAGAGTATGCCAATGACAACTTCAGCTAATACAAGCTTAATCAAGTTTATATCACGTCTGGTTAAAACATTCTGGAACGCATTGTTACTTCCAGCAACAGGATGTACACGACCACGAACCTCTTTTAAATTCTTCAGAATGAGAAAAGCGAATAATATTGTGAGAATCGGCAGAATAAGCCCAAAAACACAGATCATATAAATGCCGAAAAAGATTCCATATGTTCCAAAGGTACTGCATCGATTGTTTTTAACGGTTTCCAAAATCGGTAGATGTATTGAGATTAGTAAACCAAAAAGAGTGGCACCGCTAATTATTTTCAATGCAGCTTTTGGTTTTGTGAACTTACGCATGATAGCTCGAGTCGAAGTAAGTGCAAAACGATCAAAACATGCCAATAAAATCATAATTTTATACAAAAGCGACGAAGACTGCAGAATATAAGCTCGGATACGACAAAGAAAGTCAGATATAACGAACGGATCTGCTGGTCGATAAGCAGCATAAATATTACTAATGAGTCCCCAATTGACACCTACGAGACTGAAGATCGCGGCAGCAATTAAGTACAGTGAACAAGAGTTGTGCCGATGATGTCGTTGAGAAAAGATGGCAATGAGGAACAGATTACCGAAGTTACCAAGTATCAGTGGAATTAAAAGTACATAGCGGGTAATATATTGTTGTACAGATGCGAGAGAAACAGCAATAGAAGACATAATGTTAAGGGAAAAAAAATGATCAATATGAAACGAGAAATAAAGAAGAAGAAGGAAATGAAAATGGATGTGGATTTTACATTCTCCACGCTTGAGAAAGCTATAATAATTAAGAGTGAATCGGTGCATTTCCACCGTACGCTTTGATGATGTCTATTCTCATTATTTCGTATGATTATTTCTCTTATTTTCTCTGCCTTCAGAATAACATCAATATCTAGTACTTCGCTTCTCTTAAAATGGCTATCATTTACTGAAATAAAGTAACTCTGTACAAAGAAAACAGTAGGCAGAATCTCTCTCATTTTTTTGCTCACCTTCACTCAATTTTTTTTAAATTTTTGTCATACTATGTTTTCATTATTGAGTTAATATTTTGTGTAAATTGTAAAATATATTGCATGTTTATTATTGCTTAACGCTTTAATAATATAATCTATCTTTATATTATCATGTACGCCATATCCGGATGTTGCATCAAAGAGTATCTATTTAGAGAATCTATTTATGATCATTCCGATTCTTCCTTTCACATGCTTCTGCTTTTTTACATTAGTGCTGGTAAAAGAAACATTAGTTTTATTTATGTCAGCAAAATTCTAATAATTATTGTAACTTAGAAACATTTATGATATCAGTAATAGATTAAACTTCAAAATATGTACAACTGCCGAGTATTTGAGTACTATAAGGAACTACTCGTTTCTAATTTTACGAGTACTCTATTGGTATATTTCATATGCGATAATATTTGTATTCGTTTTTAATTTATTAATATAATCTGGTTTTTGATCATGTAACAGTAACGCGATTAACATAAAAAAGAGCATAAGTAATAGAAACAAGATAAAATATGATAGAATATTCAATATTAAGAAACAAAGAAATGGCAGTAAAAAAATAAAACGATAGATAAAAAAATCTCTTCTAATTCTATAAAAAATTAAATTATTCCCACTTCGATATAACTATTTTGGCTTAATATAATCAAAACAAAAAACAAAATCACACATGAGTTGTAGTGTTTATTTACATGATTGAGATGGTTCTGATGGTATTGTTTCTTTTTCAGTAGTGCCCGTTGATGTTGTTAGACGTGTTGATGTAGATTAAATTTGATTAGGATTTATACCAATCTTGAGGGTGTGAGTGTGGGTTCGGATGTGGACAGGTGATAACTATGAGGAAAAAGAAACGTGGAGTATATTTCTGGAATCTTTTTACCACGCTGTCCTAACCTATGTGTATTCAAGTTCGATATTCGTTTTCAAGCTTGCTATAATCGCGATAGATTACTTGATGCAAATTAGTGGGAACATGTATTAACATCAAATAATCGATTGAGTCGAATTTTTGTTCTTTTCCATTGGTGGACACGAGATGTTAGAATAAATGGACATAAAAAACTCAACGTTTTCAAACATTGCCTTTTTTTACTGCTCTCAATGTGGATATCAAACACGAATTCAAAAGTGAATTTTTGCGCTTTTTAAAATTCAATCTTTATATAAAAAGCTGAATCGTGACGAGAACTATGATGAACACAATATATATTTTTGCATTTAACATGAGTTTGTTCTAATATTTTTTTTTAGTTTGAATGTGGGTGTGGTGAATGAGGGTAGATGTGTAAGTAAGAATAAGAAGAACACCCACATCCTGCGAAAACTTTTCTTTGAATAAGATTTTTGAAAAAAAAACAACTTTTAAGAAATCAAAGCAAAGAAAAAATGTAGATTATATAATAACATATTGATTAGCTTTTGTGAATTCTGTTTGGCGAACAGAACTTTGGTGTTTCATCGAAGTCTTTTCCTCATTCATACGTTTCATAATTCTACGTTATAACTATTACGAGTGGATCTTTTTAATATATTTTGTTCCGTTCATTAGAAGAAAACCTTGAAACAACGTTCGCCGGTTCCCACAATATATTTTTTCAAAATATTCTTTTCTTTTTCCCTCATCTTTCTTGTATATGTAAGCACTCAAGAGTGTAACATTTACAGTAAACGCAAAAACTAAAAAGAAAAAAAATATTTTTCTTCTTTTCTTCATTCTATAATATTTTTCTTCTTTTCTTCATTCTATAATTTTTTTCTAAAAAAAGGAAAGTCGACTAACCATTATATATGTGTGCTGACTTGAGCATTTATAGACAGAACTGAAAATAATAACAACCTTAGGAATGCGACAAAGTAACGAGCTTTTCATAATTTTCATTTACGCGTCTCAGCATTATTCAATGATCAACGAAGAATGACATTTCAACAAAGATCTACGGAATGCATCACTACTGAAACTGATCGTTATATTGTTTCACAGTTTTTTTTCAACATTCTATCACGTGTTAAACATAATCGACAACAAGCCATAGAAGAGTTTTTCTCTCAAGAGCAACAGCCGCACAATGGAAACAATACGACTACAATTGTTCCAGCGGTCGATATGTATCATTCGCATAACATCATGGAACTGTACACAGAAGATTCACCTTTATACCGTAATCTAAACAAAGCATTGCGTAGTAACAGTATAAATTCTATATATGCTTGTCGAACCGTTATTTGTGATTTACATTCGCACCTTCGTAATCAACAGCAGCAACATAAAAATTCATCTGATTGTCGTTGCTTCTATCGCGGTCAATTTGTAGATATCGAGGAAATTGAGCAGTGGAGAAATAATATTGGGTGTGCTTTCTGCATTAAATCATTTTGGTCGGTAAGTCGAAAAAAATCTATTGCTAAAATCTTTGCTGGAGATGGTCAGTGGTCTCATGATTCACGTATACAATCAGTTATTTTCGTAATAAAAGTCAATAAACAACTCATACATGCTATACACGCCGACAGTACTGTGGAGTCCGAAGAAGAAGAACATGTGTTTTCTTCACGTTCACTCTTTCGTGTTGACAAAGTCAAACAAATTCGCTCAGTTTGGTGCGTTCATTTAACATTAATCGATCAAAATGATGAGCAAGTTCGTTTGATTATTGAACCGTACAAAAATATACTGGGCGAATATTTTTTATATACTCACGAAGATGAACAATCCGCACTAGAACAACTACATAGAAACCATTTTCGTCCTTATGCATTCCGACTTTTACTCCATTTCATTCTACGTTTAGACCGTAATGATTATGCTCTTGCAGAATTTCTCGATTATTTTCGAACATATTGTGAGAAGCGAGATAAAATTAACGCTTTCGATGGTTTCAGGAGTCTGTATTTCGATTCTGATCGAGATTTTATTCTTTTTGAACGCGGCATGTACACACATAACGCAGTATCTGCTGCAATGAAAAATGGCGATATAGATGCGTTGTTTAAAATGCGCTACTTCATTCGTGGTCTTTTCAATGGACTTGAACAAACAGATGATGACGAAGAGGACGATAGTAGTGAAGAAAACTCTGACGAAGATCCTCTGAGAACTTTTTATCGAGGCCAGATTATGTCTCGATTTGCATTTAACAAATTTCAAAAAAATAAAACGAGGCAAATAACGTTCAGCAAATTTTTATGGACAACGACGGATTACGATACCGCAGTTTACAATGCTGGTGAATTTGATCGAACATCTTGCAATCAGATTCCAGTAATTTTCAAAATAACTGTCGATACTAATCTTTCGTATCCAACATCATTTCGACAAGTTGAACGAGCCTCTCTCTTTCCATTGAATGATGATATTGTTTTTCCGCCTAACTGTGTTTTCGACATCGTTACAATCGAGAAATGCTCTAAAATATGGATTATTCACTTGAGTTTGAGCACGCAAGAAAACGATGAAAAATGGAAAATGTTATCTGAACATGTATAAATTAGAGTGGGCGTGGGTAAGGGTGAGCATATTCGCACATCAATCTCACCCACACCCTCAGTATGATCTTAAAAGAAATAAATGCATTTTTTCGTACATGGTCTATTTATTTCAATATTAAAATCTTCTAGAGAATATCAACAATAACAATAAAAAAAAGAAAGAAAACGTCATTTCCATTTTAAGTAAATATTATAAAGTTGTCGATGAATTGTATAATCTGATAAAAGTTTTTCATCATCAATCATTTGTTTTAATTGTTTTATCATTTGATCATCTGCTGTTGCTATATGAATACATAATGCATGTAAATATTCATGATGATTTTGATTGATTTTATTCAAAATCTCACGTAAACATGACAGAATATTCATATTTATAATACATTCAACATTAAGATATTCCATATGAGGACAAAATGACATAAGAAATGAAATATCTTCCATTGTACATGTCTTCTCTAAACAAACATATTTTATATTACTAGCATGTTCGAATGCAAATGTTGTTGGAAATTTTTGATTTCCAAATCGACTTATTGCTTCATAAAATGATAAAGGATTGATTTTTAACGAAATAAGATCAGGTAATAAATGAATTATTTGCGTTAATCTTTCAAAAGAAATTTTTTGTTCAATATTTAAATGATAAATTTGAGTGAAATTCAAAACACGTTTTATTTGATTTAGTAGAATATCAGGAAGTTCATTAGAATAAACATATTTTATTGTTAATTGAGTTAATTTGGAATGTTCAATAGGATATTCATACCATCTCTCTCTAAAAATAAAAAAATTAGTTTGAAAAAAGATACAAATATAAAAAAGTACTTAAATGGACGGACGAAATAATAAATATTACATTCATAAATTTCTATATCAAAAATCAAATTTCGTTGAATCCAAAATGGTGAAACGAATTGATTTATTTCTCCATCATAAATGGGATAATTATCACCATATCCCGGTTCACGATAACATAAAGAAAATTTTTTCAATGGAGAAAAATTCTCTAAAAGTAATTTTTGCCAACGATCAGCATGAAGAAAACAAATATCTCGTTTTAAAAAATTCACATAGAGAATTTGTAATTTTGAACGAATCTGTTCAACAAATAATTGAAATTCATCGAAGTTTAAATTATTTGAAAATATCGATAAATGAATGAGTTCCTTCGAATTCATTGATAAAAGATCTTCGATATATGAATCGTATCTACTTGAATGTGAAAGATTAAGATGACGAAGTGAAGGTGTATAAGATAGTAATGCAGAAAGTTCGTCAAATGTATACGAATGAGCGATATGAAGATATGTAATAGGACTTAATTGTTGATTATTTGATATTGGAATTGATATAGAATATTGATCTGCATATAAACCAAGTTTGTTCGATTTTAGTTTTGGTAATGAAAATATTAATTGATAAATTTGACTTAAATCTTCAAATAAATCACTTGATTTGATATTTAATAAATAAAGACAAGGTGAATCACGTAGATGAGTAAGTAATGAAATAAGTTGACCTTTTTCAATATCTTCAATAAAAATTGATTGAACATTATTAAATGAATAATCAATTGAAAAGAATTCATTTATAGAACTTTTTGGTGATTGAAAAGAAATTGAATAAATTTGATGTTTGATTTTCTTTGAATAATTCCAAAACAATTCTTTTGTTGTTGAATAATCAAGAATTATTTTATATCGGTTCGTTGAACATGTAATTATTTGTTGAAAACGAGAATTAAGATTTGAAAATGCTATACAAATATCCAAACCTTCAAGATAATCATATATTTCATAGAAGAGATCATTCGACAAATTTTCAAGAGAATTTACTAGTTGATCTTGATTAAAATACAAAAACAAAACAAGTTTAGATATTATTAATCAAATGAATTTACTTCGTGATTTTTTTGAATTTTCTTCAGACCATTCTTGTGAAGTTAATTTTCGTTTCGTATTATCCATGTTGTTTACGCACACGAAAAGAAAAGAATTCGAATATATAGGCTATTTTTTTTCTTTCCTTTCCTTTATATTCGTCCGGCATGTTGTTTCGAAATCAGTCGAGTTTATTCATTATAAATAGATGAAGAAAATTGTTTCGAATACTACACAAGACATTTACAACAATCAGTTTCTTAGTTTGAATTTTCATAATGGTGAAGTAGTAATTAAAGCCCTCAATCGTTAGTATCATTGTCACTTAAATATAGATAGAACATTGAGTGATTCACTCAGAGCATATCATCATTTTGAAGATGTGAATGTTCTCGAATAGATTTACCAAATTTAGTTTCAATTTCAAATACTGGTTGAACATTTTCTCTCGATAGAAGAATATCAATAAAGATGCTATTGAAGTTTTTGTCTACCGTGTCATTTCATCTCCTTCTCAATAATTTGAAAAGTGCTGTAAATAATAGTTTAAGATATTTTAATTAAGATTCAATTTGGTTTTCAAGTGGTTGACAAGCTTCGGTCAGAGAAACGAGTTGTTCTTGTTGATAATCATTAATTGATTCGATATTTTCTTGTGATTGATGAGAAATATCAAGTAAACATCGAGGATTGATTTTAAATGAAAACGACATCGCTTTTTTTCAACTTTATTCGAGTTTAAATATGATGTTTTATTGCATGTTATATAGATTGGCAAAAACCAAGAAGAAAAATACGACATCTGTATAGTGCAAGATAAAGTAATGAGATAGTGGAAAGGAAAGGATGAAAAAAGAACGTGTTTTATAATTCTCTTCCCCTTATTTCATGATTTATTTTCGAAACAAGAGTAATCATATTTTTGCTGAGAAACAATTAATACATTTGAAAATTTTCTAACAAATTTCTCTTATTGAGGCATCTCATAACATAAAGTTTTATGTCAAAATTCAGAGATCATTAGGTCTCTTCTTTTTCATGATCTCGCTACTATTCTTCCGACTGCAGTAATTTGTAATTGTTCGGTTGTTTGATGTTTGCATTTATAAAAAGTATCTCTGAGCTCGCGACGAAAGCTTTCCGATACACTATAAAAGATATTAAAAGGGTGTCGATGCGGTTGCGGATGTTTATCTTTTCTTAGCTCACATCACACACCCACACCCACACCCAGGTCGAAATATCCGATTTACTCGAAAATTCGTCGTTCTACAGTTCTCGTTCATAGTTATCCTGTACTACTGTTCGATGTCGTTCTTTGAGCTTGTATTTCAGTCGATGGCGGGCATTGTCGAACGTGTTTGTTGTACATCTTCTTGCTAGGACACCGAGCACCGCAGACACAATCGTAAGTGACAAATTGTGTAAAGTCAAATGATATCTCTAACGATTGTTGCAGTATCATCCAAGCCTGATCCCCAGTGCTTATTGACTGTCCTGGGTGATTGACAGAGTTCGTAGCAGTAGAATCATTGTTCGATGGTTCATGTTCCTGTAAAGACACGTTGTTGAACTCAGTGTGTATCGGATAGGCACCTTGAATTCGATGTATCAGACTGTCGTAAATATCGATCATGACAATAACATCAATAGCGGCATAATTTATAAGTGCTTGTGGTAATGGTCGCCGAGACCAGTCGGAGCATTGCTTCGATTTGTTCAATGGGCGATTCAGAGTCATCACTGTCATTTGTTTCAGGCTATAAATTTTCTGGAATTTTTCGCCTGGAAAGGCATGCCGATACACAGAAGACAACTCGATGAGTCGATCGATTTTCGATGTTTGAAAGCATTCGTCATCATATGAACATTTCAACTGTATAAGGTCATTTTGTAGATCCTGTGACAATTTGTATGCTTTTCGATGATTAAAGATCGCTTGTAAGAGATGGTGAGCCATGGCGCCTGCATCACACAATCGAAATTCGCTGCGCGAACGATCGAACAGCCCTTGTAAATCAAACAACAGTACATGCTTTGCACCAACATGAGCACCACGAATTGCTACCTGCAGAAGTGCTGGTTTGCCAACGTACATCACGGGACACACCTTTGAGCTGGGTTCGTTGCATGTTAACATGTGCCTTTGCCATTGCAGAAAATCTGGATGGTGAAAAATAGGCATTGTTTCGGTATCCATTGCCATTAACTGAGCGTCGTCGATTATTCGTTGAACTTGGTCCATTTGTCTACGAGTCAACTTTAGGCCGATCCAGTGTACAGTCCAATCACTCGGAATGGTGTAGCAGGAAGATTGACTGCTATTCTTTGTGGATGTCCCAGTCGCCATTAACAGAGAATCTAAAATCGACCCGACAAGAAAGTGTTACTTTCCAAGATTAACAAGCAAATGCTTCAATCATTCTTATGACGCGGGCATGCGGCGTATCATGCTGTTAGTGAATGATGTACTCAATGATGATGTTGAGGGTGGGTGTGGGTGTGGATGTGAGTGAGAATACCTATCTTTATCCTCATTCACCGTCACCACCCACACTCGTCTGTAAATAAAACAAAATGGTGACGTACGCTTCTAAAACGAACTTTTGTATCTCTTTCAAACATTTAAGAATTGTCTTCTGTAGTAGTACTTAAAGCGTCAATTCAGTTCTTATTATTCTTCGAAAGGAAATAGATTATCCTTAACTTAAAGATATGCAAAAATGTGACAGTTTGAGTATATACATACTAGTTATTTGTCAACAAATAATATCTCATGGTATCTGGAATAGTCCAGTCCACCCTCACCCTTTCCCCGCCCACTCTCAAGACTAGGTACTGTTCTTTGAAAGTTGAAAAAGACCAACTATCGCCACTCAATAAACTGCGCCATGCGTCGATTTACATAAAAACAACTCTTTCTGCGCAAACAAAATTCAACACTCAAGTATTTGCCTTGTGCAAATATAAAATCGAGAGAAAATTTAGTGATGGTGTGCAACAGATTTAAAAAAGGGGTGTGGGTGTGGGTGAGGATACCTTCCTTTATCCTCATCCTCGTACACACCCACACCCGCTTTGTTTCTCATCTTGTCCGTGTCTTGTCATGTAGCTTCGCATCTATCTCTGATCCACAAGTACTCCCAAGCGGTCGCTGCGCTCACCTCAGTCTCCGAAGCGTATGATTAAAATTGTTGCATTCATATGTCACTTACTATTGCGATTGACGCGTAAAAAATAATAAAAAGCAGCAGTATAGTGTGTGTTGTGGGAGAAAACACAGGGAGAGAAAAATATAAACGTCATTACTTTTTGATCAAGCCAGACAAAAACACTGTTTTTTTCTTTCTCTCACATGCTACGGTTTCTATGGTGTACTTACATTTTATCTGTCGTCGCGAAAATAAAATACGTAATCATCTCCTGCAGCAGTCATGACGAAAATTTATAGTTCCATGGAATTGGAGGGTGTGGGTGTGGGTATTTCCTCCTTATTCTATCATTCTACACCCACATCTCACACACACACACACACACCCACACCCACACCCTCAAGATGGCTGATGGAAGAAAGCAATTCAAAACATTTCTACGCTTACTTTCATCATTTTCCTTCGAAAAAAAAAACAAAGAGTGAAACAAGCATTGCCATGGACACGATACGCACAATTATATGACGCATTATACTTACTAATAATTGAGATATTGTAAGAATAGTTGATTCATAACATTAATTATATTACTAGATTTAATTAGAATATATATGTTAGGTTAAAAACTAATAACAAATTCCGAACTAGCGTTAAAAGTGTATTGTAAAACACAAGTTTTGTTTTCATAATAATGAATACATGATACAAGAAAACATTATTAATAGAAGCTTATACTATTAGAGACAGGAGTGTGAGTATTATTAGGTAATAGAAAACCATCTTGAGGGTGAGAGTGTAATGTCGGTTAGATGTTCTTCTTCCAATAAGAATCCTACCTTCGTCTGCACCATTCTTGATGATCTCATGAATCATCTCATAATTTTCAAATTTTTAAGATAGCATGTAATATATATTATTTATTCTTTATAATTCAAACGTAATTTGAAAAAGAGTTTTTAATCATATTGACTTAAAAAAAGAAAAATAAATTTAAAAAATAAAACAAATGACGAAGTAACTTGTATTTTAGATTGGTATGAACGGGGACAATCATAAGTGATGGAAACTTTTTTAATAAAATTTATTTGTGAATAATTGACAAGTATCCAAGCATTCCCTTCAGTCGAATAGGCAACTTGGTCAACACCAGTACTGTTACCTATTGATTCAAAAAATATAAACAATATATGACACAATTGATTATCCTATCAAAATTATTTCATTTATCTTTATTTTTACTTAGAAAAACAAATACTACAGTTTTTCTTCATATGTGCTCTTACGGTTCGACATTTATTCTCACGTAAATTTTAATTCTTAGTTGATTACATTCTATAAAATAACATGTGTAATGAAGAAGTAAAAATAATTAGATATTTGAACATTCATGGATCTGAAAAAAGTTTAAAAACTAAACTTTTTACCTGGAGTTGGGTTAAAAATAGTATTTGCGACATCTAAACCAGTGGTAACAACTCCTACAAAGATAAACAATAGCATTGTTATTCATAAAGTTAACATTCGAAACAAAAGACTATCCTACACATCAGACTGACACTCAATGCTACGAATGATTATTAAAATCTACTCGAAAGTATAATATTCTACAAAATCCAATGCACTGAATACTTTGATTATTCATTTGCATTATGAACTTACCTATAGGTGCAAAACCGTGTAAATCTAAACGGCTATTATTGCGATAATTAATAAATAATTGTGTTGTACGCGTATTAGGTCCATTAGTAGCATACGATACAGTACCAACAATATTAGACATAAGTACAGGATCTAAAAAATAAATATTAGAACAAAAAAAGTCTAACATAATAGTTACCATCAAGAATAGTTTTATTCCAAATGGTATTTTGTATTGCATCCCCACTGATTCCAAATTGCACGACAAATTTAGGAACAACACGAAAAAAAGCTGAAGGAACAGCATAAAACTGAGAGTTAATTATATCAAATAAATGATTTGCTCCAATTGGCGCCCAATTTTGAGTAATATTTATGATTATTGACGAACCACTAGCATTCTTAACATCCGTTTCAAGACGAATACAGTAAGACGGTGGATAAGTACCAGAAAGACAACTGAATACAGTTGTAAAAATGACGATAAGTAACAATTTACATAAAGTAAACATCTATAAAGATATGAAGTATAGAATATACTCATTACGAAACAACTACAACCTTCTTTTCAAAAAGGAATGTAACTGGTAGCCTGATGTTGCTACTGTATCTATTAGGATTTATAAACTGAAATGCAACTCAGTTTACATCATGGTCATAATATACATTTATTGAGTAATATCGATAATGCTGCGAAAAAATATATGTATGTTTGAGGTGGAAAAAGCGAAGGAATGAATGCAGTCACTTTTTGTTTTACCATTTAATTTATCTTTTTTTAGACATTTATATGATCTATAGCTCGTTATAGTTCATTTTCTTGCGCCCTTTAAATGTGGATGTTATAAGGGTGTTTTGTTTTGCTTACGCCGTTATTAATGTTTACCTTTGTTTTATTTTAACATATAAGCATTAAAAAAGATAATTATTCTGTACAAAAGAGTGAATGTGTTTGAAGATAATAACCACGCCCTCACCTTCAAAATGCTGAACACATAAACGCAATTTATTTATATCTGCCTTATATTCAATATATTCTAAATGACCATTTCCAATTCCTTTATTGAATTTGTCAATCAAGTTTTGTACACTAATATTAGATGGAACATACTGTCTACGTTTTGGATCATTGATAAAAAGGACATGATCGAAAAACCATCAATTTTTACTCACACTGAAAACAGTATAAAATGAAAGTACTCAATGAATACACCACTAATTCTATATTCATTTGTGCTGATCTTATATGAAGTATTTTTAATGGTAATTACCTGAATCTGAGCCAGAATGACACACTGAATACGATAGAAAACAGTTGAAAATAGCGGACAACATCTGGAGAAATACTTGTGGAATTAATGATGTACTCCTTGAGTTCTTCCATCTTGAGGGTGTGGGTGTGAGTGTGGGTGTGGGTATTATATTTGTTGTAATTAACACCCACACCCTCAAGAAACGAACTAATCCCGGTCGAAACACAAAATTAAGACGATCACACATCTACAGCATCGTTTTCAAGAAAAAAACAGTTAATCACTCAACATCCATTCTCTATATTCCAGGAAATTCTTACAAAAAATAAATCTCTATATCTGTAATTGCTCGACTCTGGCTGAGTCTGCTGCTTTAAAATTTCTATCCACATCCGTACACCTTCAAAGACATGCATCAAGAAATAGTTTTAATTTATTTGAAATTTGTAAAACAAACTAGTGAATAATTATTTACTCCATGTCACATTTGCGGTTAAATAGAGTGACATGTCATCTAAATATTGGGAACCATCTGCAGAAGCATCTCGTTCTGAAAATTTCAACATTGCAAGTGTCTGAATTAGATAATAGAAAGAATTAGAAAGAAAACGAACAGGAAATTTGTCTTACTTCGTTGCTAAGTAATGCATTCACTAAACATTTAGCTCCTTCTAAACCAATGTCGTTGTTTCCAAATGATAATGTCTTCAGTGTCTAAAGTAAAAATATGAATAAATACATCGTAAAGCAGTATAGAATTTCTTCCACCTTGTTATTCAATAATGCATTAGCTATATATCGAGTTCCTTCTGTTCCGATCTTGTTCGATGCAAGATCTAACGTTGTTAAACTCTGTATTAAATAACGTTGAGAAATATTCGACAGATGCTTACAAAATCTGTCTCACCTTATTATGCACTAATGTATTAGCTATATGCTTAGCTCCTTCAACACCGATTCCGTTCAGAGTAAGTATTAGTGTCGTTAATGTCTATATTAAAAGATAACGATTAATATGAGATAAAACAATAAACAATATATCTAACACTATTAGTTTCTAGGGCTTTAGCTAAATATTGTGCTCCCGTGGGACCAATCCAATTGAGAACAAGAGAAATGGTGGTGAGTGTCTAAGTTGAAAAATAAAAAAAAGTGTGGCAGAAATATTTATAGAATTAGTTCTACTTTGTTATATATTAATGCATTAGCTAAATTTTGCATTGGATCAGGACCAAATCTATTAACACCAATATTGAGAGTGGTAAGTGTCTACATCATAGAGTCAAATCAATATTAGACAGACAAATAGAAAGACTTGTTTTACATGATTATATTGTAATGCATTGCATAGATATTGTACACCATCGCTTTCCATACCAGATTTTTCAAGATTGAGTATCTTCAGTCCCTATGTTAAATAATGTAGACAAGTATGAGAAAGATGGGAAGAAATGTGTATATCACTGTTTCATTTGTCATCAATATATTGGATAGAGATTGTATTCCTTGTGGCGTAAAATAATTATCGTGAGCGTATAACGTTGTCAATGTCTATATCGAATGATACAAGTGAATATAATAATAGAAAAGTAAAGCATTTGATTTACTCGATTATTTCGTAAACCACTCGTAAGTGCATTTACTCCTTCAACACTCATCGATATTGCATTGATATACAATGTTGTTAGTGTCTATAGGAAATGTTAAAAGACAGATATAAAATAAACAGTTTATTTTACAGTATTATTTTCCAGTGCTTTAGCTAAATACTGCACTCCTTGATTTCTGATTGGATTACTAGATAAATTCAGCATCGTAAGTGTCTATATGAAATATACATCATTATCAAATAAAAGAACGATTGTAGAAATTCTTACATTATTATTTTGTAAAGCATCAGCAACATATTGTGCGCCATCAGCATCAATTCCAGTACCCGGGATAATTAATGTAGTAAGTGTCTGTATTATTAAATACAAATACTAAAGACACAAAGCAATGAGAATAAGATTTTTCTCACTTGATTATGTTTTAATGTATCTGATAAATATTGCATTCCTTCATTTTGGATGTGGCTTGAAAAAAGATTCAAACTAGTCAGAGACTATCATATACAACGATAATAAATATTAGGTAAAAAAAAGTAGGGAAATAGATCTACATGATTCTTCTCTAGTGCTTTGACTAAACAAATTACACCTTGACAATCAATTTTATTATATCCCAAATGAAGTGTTACTAATGTCTATATTAATTCATACAAACAAACAAATAACATTCAAAAATAGCAAAGATTTTTTTTTACATTATTCACTGCTAATCCATCAGCTATATATTTGACTCCATTGGGATGAATGGGATTATTTGTAGAACTTAATTCTATTAGTGTCTAGAATAAATATTAAAAGATGAATATAATCAAACCATTTCTATTCCATCTTACGTTATTGTATCGCAATATATTCCCGATATGTTGTCCGCCACCACCGCCCAGTCCATTGTGAGATAGTTCCAATTCTGTTAGTGTCTATATTGAATATAAAAAACAACTGTAAGTATAATTAAAAGTATTTTATTTACTTTATTAATTTTTAATGCATTTGCTAGATATTCTAAGCCACGTTCGCCAATCGGAGTATATAGTAGACTCAGTCGAAGAAGTGACTATGTCAAATGATAATGACGCATGTGAAATGAATAAGAAAAGCATTCGTCTCACCTTGTTGTTTTCTAATGCTTCAACGAGATGTTGCATACCGTTAGAGTTAATATTGTTCTCACTTAATTGTAGTTCTGTGAGTGTCTATATTAAAACGAGAGATATCAATATGAGAAAAAAATCTATTTTACTTGGTTGATTCGAAGCATATTAGCGATATACTGCGCGCCTCGAGACTCGATGTGGTTTTGGCTAAGATCGAGAATGGTGACTGTCTGTATTGAAAAACACAAATAAACGATTAGAAGTCTGATGAAGTTTGGATTAGCTCAGATAAGAATTAGTCTTACATGATTTGTTTGTAGAACAGCAGCTAAATATTGTACGCTGTGACAATCGATTATGTTTCTGGATAGATCAAGTTCTGTTATTATCTATATGGAAAATATAAAAATGAATTGTTTCGAAAAATAATTTTACAGTATTATTTTGTAATGTATAACATAACCGTTGCATTTTTTGACCATTAAAAGTTTGACGAGAAAAATTTAGTTTAGTCAGTGTCTTAACGAAAATATTAAAAAAATATTAAAGATATAAATGTGACATGAAATTTACTTGATATCGTTGGTAAGTATCAATGATAGTATCCAGTCGAGTACAGACATTTCGGCATGATGCAAAAATTGTTATTAGTTTAAGATGGTCAAGAACTCAATAGACAAGTTCGACAGGAAGTGTCAAAAATGGAGATATTACTTTGTCAGACATTGATCTCTATTTTCTTCTATTACGACGTTTGCGCTTAGAAAATGTGTGTAAGCGATTGTTAACCACGTGTTATAAAAAGCTTTTCATCATTTTGCATCATATTACTTCAATACAGAACGCAAAAGTTTAGTCTAGAAGAAAAAATGCAAAGGTTTATGTTGGTAGTCATCACCATCACCATCAACTTCTATTTCGTTTAGAAGGTAGTGACTCATATGCATATCGATTGGAAGATTTTTTTTTCGTTCCTTTTCTCATCTCATATTCTAATATTACACAAAATGAAAAGAAAGAGGTAGAAAGATCAATATACATATGTGTTTATTTGGTAAATGAGGGTGATGGTGTTGAAAAGGAAAAGACATTGTGCATTTTATTTCAAAAATTATACAAGCATATTGTATTCCATAGTTTTACTTTTACTTCTTTCAACATCACCAATATTCGATTCATCATTACAATCTCTTTTATGTAAACAAGATATTAATGTTAATTGTATTGTTACAAGTAATACAATTTCTTCGTTTTCGGAGTGTCAACATTGTATGAATGATGTTGTGAGATACGATCCCTTTCATACGAGAGTCTGTCTCGATGCCGGGTACATTGTGAATCTAGCACACCGTTTGGTATCCTTTTATCTGACTGGTAGTTTTCAAACAAGCAGTTCTTAATTTTTCTCTTTAACAACTAATTTTCTTAAAATAAGTATATATAGACTTTAATGAATTAAAGACAATTTTCAAAGTCTTTTATCCATTAAAACAACAATAGTGGCCTAGAATACGAATAAATGAATATTTCAATCACATTATATTATATCATAATAATATGAAAGCAAAATTTATAAGCAAAATTAATAAATATATAATAGACTGTCACGAATTGTTAATCTTGAATGGTCAATCTTTCGAAATTTTGTACAGTAGAATCATAATTAGGCGGTAGATCATCATTATTAAATATTGAATAATCAGGAATCACTATTGGATTAAATATTTGCTGTTGATTAAAATTAGGATTTGACTCTGTTCCCAATGTAATTGGAATATCAACATAAAAATCATTAAAAATACCTTGAATTTTAATTGCAAGTTCAAGTTTATAAGAAATATCAATGTAAACATTTTCTAGAATTTCTTCATGAGACACAAATGATGGAGGTAATAATAAAGATGGAATTGTTACATCAAATACTTCTTGTATTTGTTCGTCTTTTAAATTTAAAATTTTTGGTAATTTTATTTTAAATATCATATCTTTACATTTACATTGTTGAATTATATACTTTCTTATCATTGAAAGATCAATACGTTGAACTAAAGCTTTCCGTGGATTTTCAATTTGTAATGTCATGTAAATTACTTCACCAGGAACATATCCCGATTTGTTTAAAGTAACATATAATATAACATTGTTATCAATATATGTATTGTGAATTGGTTTTAACCATTCAAGATTTTTTAATAAATTAACACGTGGATAAATTTTTGTTACGTATTTTATAACTTTATTTATGACTATCGAACCTTTTCTATAGATACGAACTCTTAAATAATATTTCACATGAGGATAATTTGGAAGTTTATTTAGTGTTGGTGGAAGATAATCAGGTAATTAAAACTGAAATGGCCAATAATATATTTCTTGTTCAACATTGAGTATTGTTAAAATAATTGTGTCTTTGTAAAATTTTGGATGATAATACGCAGTTGTAGCTGTAGGTAATGCTGCTCTTTCCCATGTATATTTTGTTCCTGTATAACCAATTTCTCCTATAAGTTCGATATAGATTTTCTCAACTTGTCGTTTGGCTTGTATAAGATTTAAATTAACAGTTCCAGATATGGTATCACCAGTTAGATAACATGTTTTAGTTTGATTAAGATGAATTAAACCTTGGCTAATATTACCGTTACCCATTACTTAACTTTTTAGGTGTGTTGAAAAAAATTGGTATTAAAATCAAAGGAAAAGATAAATATAAAATAATAAATATTTATAAACGTGTTGTTTTTGTCGGTAATAGTTAATTATCTAATGTCTGTGATAACAAATATTTCACAATTGTACGTGTTCATTTTAAATAGAATAATTTTTTTTATTTTCTTTCTCTAATAGACAGAGCTATATTCAAATAGGTATATCAATGAACGCCTATTAAATATAACACAATTACATTCTTCTACTGACTTGAGAGGTGTGGGTGAGTGTGATTCAGGATATGCTAAGGTATATCCCTATTCCCACCCACATCTACGCCCTCAAGTATATTCAATTTGACTGTTATATTTGTTAATATGAGGGTGTGGGTGGATTTGGAGAAGAATACAACACTCGCACCCAAGATGATTTTCTCATTTATTCAATTGTGATGTCACTAGCGGGCCAACATCCAAATTATAAGTGGGGCAAAAAAGTATAATTTCTTAACATAATAAAACATCTATTTTCAGCTTTGTGAAAATACTCTATGACAGTTGCAAATACAACTAGTCTTTTAAATGTAATCTCTGAGTTTATTTTTCCGTTGAAGTCAAATGAATCAACAAAAGTATATTAGTCAAGAAAGAACTTTATTTTAAAAAAATCTTTTCACCATATTTTTTTTTACAATAAAATCTGTTACTATTTGATCTTAATTAATTTCAAAGTTTCTTTTAATATTTGAAAGAGCAATGCCTGATAACGTTTCTTCTCCCAAAACATGAAAACTACATTCACATTGATATGAATTAATCGGTATAGTCTAAAGAATTTTCAATAATTGATTCATGGACGCTAATGCTATGTGAAAACTATTTTCCAAAAAGAGTTTAGTTATTGTTGACAAATTTATTCTCTTATCGTTCATCTGATACTTGAAAAATCATCATAATTAATAGAATTAAATTGTTTAAATTATAGATCTGACCAGTTATTTAACAGGGGAAAACAAGAAATAGAGTACTCATAAATGCATATAAAAGTAAAATTAGTTTATTCGAATTTTATTCGAACGAATATTAATGATTCGCTCACAGAAGTCAATAAATAAACGAGTAAATGTTGGATTTAAAATTTTTTCAGTGTTGCAATTGCCACCAATTGCCTCGTGGCCGCCCGCCACTGTCTACATCCACATCCCCCTTGTATCCATACCCCCCTTTCACCAGTCCTCAGCGAATCTCGCTTGTTTCTTTTCGTTGCTTACGTCAATTGTTTGTAATTGTATCCTTGTTCAGCACAATTTTCTCCTCGTTCTTACTATCGATGAAAAGAAATAATAAAAGTCTCCCTTTTTCTCTCGCACACTCAGGTACTCAAATGAATTAAATGCAGAGAATCATGTTGCCTTGTTACGAGTTTTCAGTCGTCATGAAAGAATTGCTTTTTAATAACGATGCTATAAGGTATTGATGGATTGTATTGCAGTAGTGCTGGTTGCTGTGCAAATAAGAAAGCGAGAAAAATTCTTTCGCTCATTTTTGTGTTATTTCACAAAATTAATCGAGGTTTTACGCGTAAAACGGGTGTGTGGGTGAGGGTGTACTTGTATATTCTAGACCGCACTCACACGCATACATCGATTCCTGCTCGCAATGTCACACATCCTTACCTAGACACGTTCTAGTTTATATTACAAAAATTAAAACTAGTACAGTTACAATGATTAATAATTCAAATAAAATTACATTAGTGTTATACGTATCCATAGCGAGTTTCGTATGCTTTGGATTACTGTACATTATGTCTATATCAAAACCCAGTATAACGAAAACTATGACAAACCCTACCAAAAGAGTATTTCTATCGTCTAAACTCTTATGTCATCGGTCCGATGGAAGTACATTCCCATATAATCAATTAAAAAAGTTACACCTGGAAAAAATTAATTATAAAAGTGCATATTTGAACGAAAATGTTTCTACACATTTGTCATATATCTCGAAAAACTACTCGACTTTAAATGAGTTCATTGAAAATACACGCATAGCTTTCATGGCACGTCAGTTGATTCCAAGAGCTCATCCAATTCGTACAATCTTTCGCAATCCTCCATACAGAGATATGATAAAACCATCTTGTGATGGTTTATGGATGGAATTTGGTGTATTTCGTGGCACGTCGTTATCTCAGATTGCAGAATGGAAACAGGCGTTTTGTAATAACTCAAGTCAACTTGTCTATGGATTCGACTCATTTGCTGGATTACCAGCCGACTGGAGGCGTGGATTTAAACGAGGCGCCTTTCGAATGCCTAATGGAACACAAATTATAGTTCCATCTAATGCTGTATTAGTGAAAGGACTATTTATTGACACATTACCTACACATCTCCGTCTAGTCGATTATCAATATCAATGTAAGACACCAGTTTCGTTTGTTCATATTGATGGCGATATTTATGAGAGTGCAAGGGATATTTTGTATCTACTTGGAACTCGCTTTGTATCGGGTACAGTTTTAGTATTCGACGAGTTATTCAATTATCCAGATTACGAAAAACATGAGATTAAGGCGTTATTTGAATTTTTATCTGGTTCAGACTTACGACTTATGACCCTCGGAACAAGCGGCAACATTGAACTGAAACCAACTAAAGATACAACACCTCAATCATTCGCTTTTGTTATAGATGACGCAGAAAGTGAATAAGAATTATGATAATAAACTATATACAGTTCTTCATAGATCAATATCATTAAAAGGAAGTCTTTATGCATATCTGTCAGCATATCGCACGTGTGTGGTGGTTTGAATGAGGAGAAAGACATGATATACACTCACACCCTCAAGATTTAGTATTGGTTGAGCTGCCATATATATTCAAATATGTTTATTAGGAGATTTTACTAAACATATACTGTCCGATTGTTGAGAAACAGTTTCACAATATGAAATAATCGGATGAGATACTTTTATTGAAAGTTCTTCTTCAAGATATTTTAAACAATGTTTCGAATGCTATTCACTAGCTACATTGATTAGGGTGTGAGTTTGTCCTATTTCAGATAATCTTACACTCACACCCACACCCTACTCTCGTCGATCAAATGAAATCAAGTGATACAAAGATATTTTGAATTATACGAATTAATCGATTGTTGAAAGGTTCTTAAGGGTGGGTGTGGGTATTGGTGAATTCCTCTCACCGACACCAACCCACATCCACACCCTCAAGATTATTTCGATGTCGGTGGTTTATTTATAATAGAAAAGAAAGTCTCGATAAATAAAATAATTTGTCAATTAATGACTAATTCGACTTTTATATGGAAGAATTAGACTCGATAGGCTGCATACATTTACTTCTTAAGGCTTCCCCCCCCCCTCCGAAACCGATTTTCCATACGGTGCATGGAATCTTCATGAAACTTTCTACAGATACTCGACCCATGGAGGTACAATTGTAAAAAAAGTTTCAAGGCTCTAGCCTTTTCCGTTCGGGAGATATACAGGTACCAAGGGGCAAAATGGGGGTCCCACGCGTACAAGGATTTCTTCAATATACTTCGAGATGGAGCGCTCGGGCTGGTCTCATTTGAAAGAGAACTTCTTGATGCTTCGGATGACGGAAAGGATTTTTTTAATTTTAATTTTGTTTCTTTGGTGGGATCTACAAAACTCTGAAGTTCCAAAAACCCTATGTAGGGTTTTTCAGAAAATACCTGATTACTCATAGAATGGGAGTCAAATAAAAAATTCCTTCTCGTCATCTGAAGAAGGACATATCTATCTATCAAATAAAAAAAACCGCAGTTTAATAGAGTGAACTATAGTGGAGAAAAATCTGTTCAGAGATTGATATTTTTCAAAAACTCGATTTTGAGAAAAACGAGTTTTTCTTTTATCTATATAAGCAATAATGGCTTCAACTAACTCAAGTTTTTTTACAAAATTTCCCTAAAAAACTTAGAGATTTAATACAACCTTTACGGATTTATAAAGTAGACTACTCAGGCATCATGCCCATGTGTTTATCTCAAAATCAATTTTTTTGACGAAAATCGACTTTTCGGAGGGGGGGGAAGCCTTAATCTAAGGTCAGTATTCGATCTGATTTTTTTAGTCTTCGTTATCTTTGATGGTGAATGTGAATATTCTATTTGATTCACACTCGCACCCATTCATCACCCTCTATATGTGTCAACTTGCATTGTCATTTTTTTTGTAACACAAAAGATTATCTATGATAAAAATTTTTAGTTATTATTTTATAAATTGCATAGAATTTGATCTGTAGAAAAAAGCAATTAATCAGAAGAAATATATTTCTATCACATTATTTTAACTGTTACATTAAAAATTTTTAGTTGAAGAACTATTAATTTTTAGAAAAATATTATTTAGTCTAATCAAAATTTTTCAAAATAAAACTAATCAATGGTCTTTGCTGAAAAAAAATAGATGAACATGCACCCTAATCATTCGTATAAACATAAGTAATAGAAGTGCGACATCTTCAGCATTGAGAAAAGGTTAGTCGACTTTTTGTTCAATTCTGTCAAATGTTGACAACCTCTATTACTAATTGTGTTTTTCCTTCTCTGATGACGTCATCTATAAAATGTTAGTTTTTCCGAGGATCTACTAATCAACAAAAAAAATATGAAATATAAAGATTCATTCTATATATATTTAGATTTTATTTGAGTGCTCAGCACATGACAAACACAAGATGTCACAAAAACAAACTCAATTTATGGTACTTCCAAATGAAGTTATATACAGTATATTCCATTTCTTAAAAACTTCTGACATTCTTCGAGCGTTTGCTCAACTGAATTGTCGATATGATGATCTTATTCGATTTTATATCAAACGAATCGATCTTACCGATGATTGGGATGGAAATCTACAAGACTTTAAATGGATCTGTAGATCGATTCAAACGCTTAAAATTAATCAATACTACATTCACTGGTTACGTGCTCTAGACCCTAAGAAAAATTTATCTAAATGCCGCCAAAAACCTTCATTTTGGACTATTATTAAAAACCTTTTCACTTGCTCCCAAAAAATGACAAGATCATCTCGATATTATTTACAACGCACTATTCTTAATGTTAATTATCAATTTTCTCAACTCCATTCGCTTCATCTTGTCAATATATGTGAGTGGACCAAAGTGATATCTAACATGAATTTGAAAAGTCTTAGTCTTTGGCTTGATGATGATCATAGTCGTTACTGCGAGGAAGGATGTATACCTCAAACAGTGACCCGATTCTCTACAAATATTGCCATTGAGGCAAATAAATTTCATATGGATTTGATTGATCTGGATATATGCATTCGCTCAATGATTCATTTATTTGAAATTGTTGAACAAACACCTAATCTTCAACGTTTATTAGTTACTTTTGCCGATAATTTTGACGAAGACTACGACATAAAAAATTTCTCGTATATTTACTCCGAAATGATGACAGCCAACTTTCTTCCGTTAATCAATTTAAACTATCTTTCTTTCAGTACGAAACAAACTAACGATACAAAAACTAACGAACGTTTGCCATTCGATCAAGTTCAATTATTCATTGATCAATGTTATCTAAAGACAAGTATTCTTAGAAAAGTCACACTGAAATTTGATTGTATTATATTTAATGAAAATCTATGGTCAACAATCGTACGATATAAAAATACATTTCATCGTTTCGATTTCTATGCTTCATTTATAGTAAACGATAAAGCTTCAATAATTAAAATAATTCCGTCGAATAATGATCATTTTGACTATCATATTGAAGACAGTGATCTAGTACATCCAGAAGGTCGCTTTGTACATATTTATTCATTACCATTTGCTTTTGACAAACTTCATGGGTTTATTTCATGTTCGGAACTCAGTTTTCGATCCTCATTTTTAAGTGTTCGTCATCTTTATTTGACGAGAACTTGTCTCGCTCGTCCTGTTTCATTTAAATTGTTAGCAAGACGTATGCCAAATCTCATTTCCATTGATTGTAATTTTTCATTCGCTCATGTCCATAATAATGAAACTTCATTCATTTTTGATCAAGGCGTTTTCAGTCATGTCCGTTTTTTTCGCTTCATATCGCATTGCACGTCTAGAGATTGTAACTGCTTTACTCTACTTCCTCAACTACTTAATCGAATGCCACGCTTACAATGTCTTATTATTTCTGTAGATCCTTTGAAATATGCGTGGCATCTATTACCATCTGTTAAGCGGCTCGATTTCATATCATTTTGTAGGTTACCAGAACATGTTCCACATTTATCAACGCTTGTGTTCGATTACAGAATAGTATCTGTAAGCCAGTTATCACATATCCTCAGTTCTCTCTTTATGAGAATTTCATCACTGAAACTTGTTTCAATCAGGACTTACCCAACACCTTTTTCAAATGTGCCGTCACGTGAAAAGATAGCTAAGCAAGCTTTAGTTCACGTGCAAAGGATGGATAATTGCCTTCGTCATCTAACACTTAACTACGAATATACAGTAATGGAATTTTTTCTTCAAAATATGTAACTTATTATATATTCTCTCAATGTAATTTAATAAAACATAAAGTGTTACTTTTCATTTGTATTTCATTCCTCTGACGATAACGCGAGATGATAATGCAAATGAATTTTTAATAAATCTAAAATGTATTTCGTTATGATTTGGCGTAGTTAGTTCAATGTTAAGATATAATAATAGAAGTATATGTCGAAATAAAGGGGCGAACTGATTTAGACAAAGAATTTTGAAGAGTTTATTATGAATCTGTCAAAACTTGTATTCTTCTTTCTGTGTTTCTTGAGGGTGTGGGTGATACTTTGGAGGCATCCACACCCACCCACACCCACCCACACCCTCAAGTAGTACAGAGTTATTTTAAATTATACCAATTAGTCGATTGTTGGAAGCTTCTTATTCTCACTTCATAATTTTTCTTAACAAATCTTTGACGTTTCTTGAATTAGCATGTGTTGTTTCGTGAATAGATAAAATATTTACCAGCTATCAAACTTCTTCTGATTTAACTTTTCGCTCGCCTTCATCTATTTTCAATATACTTGCGTTGTAGAAAATCAAAAAGTATCACTACACTGAGCCCTATTTCATATCTTGTGAAGTTTTCAATGATATTATGATTGATGATACAAAGATTTTTAAAAACAAAATTATATCTATTTAAAATTCCAGAATATGATATTAAAGATGAATGTCTCGTAGAATTACTCAGGTATTAAAACACAACGATAGTAGACAGATCCACTTGATAATATTGCCATTGGATCTTCATACACATAGTCCGTGCTAGTTGCCATAAACTCATGTCTTTCATCAAAATTAGATTGTAGAAAAGCATTTGCATCTCCTCTAGTTGGCACAGATTTGTAAGATGAATATCGCAAGAGTGCATAAAAACATCCAATTGCCAGATTATTTACTGTAACAATTCCAAGCATTTCTTTAGGATCTTCATGATATGTTGGATTAGGTTCATCCCATTCAGAAACAGATAAGTGAACTGGTAATGTTACGCAATCTTCATCTACAATACCAGTAATAGCTATACCATAATCGACCTATAATATCATATAAACATCTTTATCTATGTTAAATGAAAATATTTACATTCAATGGTAAACATCCATCATTAGCATTTTCTTTAGCATCGATAGTTTCTCTAGTTGATCCGAATTCGTCTTCATTGAGATTTTTCTCGATTTGTTCAACATCAAATAAATCATGATAAATTATTTTATCATGTTGATCATATTGATATTCATTTTGATATTGTATACCAACTGCTGGAACAATATGATCATAATCTTCGTAACTCATATAGCGAAGAAAAATAGCAAATATGACAGGATGTCGTCGTAAAATTGATCGTTTCATCCAATGACAAAAATTTTGAAATTGTGGTTGAGGTGAATTAATCGAATCCCATTCATTATATGTGAAATGAAGTAATGTCAAAGTACGCAATGGTTCTCGATGATCATTGGATGTCACTGGTTGCAATAGATATTCACCCTTATTTATATCACGAATCAGTTTTTGAGAAATCCAAGCACCATAATAGAGACCTAATCAAATCAAATACTTAATATTTTTATTGTTCATAGACAAAAAAATATACCGATAGACTGAAGAGCTGTTTCACCACAATAACCATAGTCATTAGCCCATTGTAATCGTGGTGGAATATTAAGTAAAATAGTTTTCTTCATGATTGTTTCAATTTTTTCTTCGATTATATTCTTTGAATTCATATCTGACATTTATGTTGGAAGTTCGACTATTTATTCTTTAAAATTTTGCATTTCTGTACTTTAATGACTCATAAAATTGCGCAACATACACAAAAGGTTTTTTCGAAATTTCCATGTTTACAATGAAATAAACTTTTGGATATTTTTCTTCTTCCTTTCTCTTTTACCAGCTTTGATGACTCATACCAAGCTTTGCCTCTTTTATTGTTATGAAACTGTAAAGAATAAATATATTTATTACTTTAGAATACACGAAATATCGTAGAAATTTTATTTCTGAATTAAATAATAATTTTTTTTTATCTTTTCGAGTCTAACGACTATTCGATGTTGGAAGTGTTCGGTATATCGAGTATTTTGATTGGATTTTGTTTATCATCATTATTTTTTTGTTTATCAATTTCTCCACTATTAC